TTTGGTCTTTCTGAGACAGGGTCTCCCTGTAGCCCCAGCTGGCCTGGAACTCACTATGTAGACCAGGCTGGCCTTGAACTTACAGAGATCCGCCTGCCCCTGCCTCCCAAGTGCTGGGATTAAAGGTGTGCGCCACCACACCCCAGCATGTCCTTTCTTTTTTATAATCCACTGAGTCAATTATCCATCTGCATACACATGGGTGTGAGGCCACCCACCTCAGCATGACCAACATACCATTGGTCACACCCTGAAGAAAAATAACCCTTTTACCCAGAAACCATCCATTGCCAATAGCTTCTCAGGTAGGAGTGGAGCCTCAAAACCCCATCGCCCATCTGTGTGGAAACCGTGATGGATCACTGACTGGCTTGTGTAGGTAACTGTAGTTGCTGTGTGTTCATGAGTACAGCAGCCATGGCAGGTCCAACAGACAGCATGTCACAGCACTCCTCCCTATCCTCTGGCTCTTACATTTTTCCAGCCTCCTCTTCCTCAGTGTTCCTGAGCCTTGATGGAGGAGATTGATAAAGTGTTCCATTTAGAGCTGAGCACTCAACAATCACTTATTCTCAACACTTTGACCAGGTCTGAATCTCTGCTTTCACTGCTGCCCACTGCAAAAAGAAGCTTTTCTAAAAAAAGAAACTTTTCTGACCAAAGGTGACAAGGGCATTAATCTGAGTATAAACACACTGTATGTACTTTGTATATAGTTTGAAAAATATGTCCATTTAACAAAACTATAGTAGGTTCCCCCTTAGAGCCTATGACCTCCTGAACCATGAGCTTTTGACCAGGTTTACAGTACCAGGCATGAATTCTCCCCTTTGGAGCAGACCTCAACTCCAATCAGAAAGCAAATTAGTCACTTGCCAACCAGGTTGGTATTGTAACATTCAGGGCTCATCACGGGGTAATACCATTGATGACTTTTCTCCCCCAGCAACATACATAGCACCTCCTGGCACTATGAAATCTTACCAGCATGGAGGAAGTTTCCAGGTCAGTTCCAGTTCAATTTCTTTATGTCCTGTAACCAAAGTATACTGTGTCTTCAGCAATAGGGTCTTACCATCTGGCTATGGTGAGCAACCAGGAGCAATGGAGATAGACTGTGTTGTTTGGAGCCCCTCCCTAATCAGTGACTTATAGGGAAGTATTCCATGCCTAGCACTCAGATTTTCATTTAACAACTCATGTCTCCTTAGGGAGGCATTGTCCACTCAAAGGATGGACTGTAGACTATCCTGAGGGCAGAGACCAGAACACAGCAGAAATTTAACATTTAAAAGATTTATATTTTTATATAATTGGCATGAATCTAACTTTATTAAACTGGCTTCAGAAAAAGAGGAGGTGTCGTCTTTTTGGCTTGTCGAATTTCTGGCTCCAGGCTTCAGAGATGTACGATACTTTCTCTTCCCCTGCCAGCCTTCCTCTTGGTCACTCTCTCCTCTAGTTTGACTTTTCTCATATAGTGTCCACAGAATTCAAGAATTATCCTAGCCTTCCTACTAATGAATCCTAGCAAAAATGAGTTTCTTTTTTTCTATTGTTTCCATAAACGTTCTGGAATGTTCTCATTGGCATGACTGTGACTTATCTATGAACCAGTCACTGTGGTCAAGGGGCCAGCCTTTGGTCATGTGCCCATGCTGAAACACAAGGATGAACAGGAGGTAGAGTCATCCCTATCTAGCCCTTTGAAGGAGAAAATTGATATATGCCAAGAGGGAATATGGGTGTCAGACAGGAAAAAGCAACAGTATTCTTGAGTTACGTCCCAACAGAGTCAAAATTAGGTTCTAGAAGTTCTGTAATAAAAATCAGACAGCTCTTGGTGCCCCTCCCACAAAAACCTTGCTGCTAAAGCCTACCAGGCAATAGGGTACCAGAGTTATCTTTTTACCTGCAGCTAGTTTTCTCTCATAGATTATCAGCTGCAAAAGGGAAAAAATTCAGACAGTCTTGTTATCACTGTATCCCAGTGCTCCACTGCATGTCCAGCACCATAATTATTTATGGATGGATGGATTTGTGGGTGGATGGTGGGTTGGATGGATGCATGGATAGATGGATGGATGGATGGATGGATGGATGGATGGATGGATGGCAGGTGAGTGGCCTTCCCATGGGCTTGAATTTGGGATCCTATAATGCCTGGGGAATTGAATGCTACTCAGAGCCCCTGATGAATGAATGATACAGTCAACTCTGAGTGTGACCCTATGCTGAAGGCCTGGCATACCGAGATAAAATTATTGTCCAGCCTTGCAGGGACTCCAAGTCTACTGGAGAAGCTACAAACAGGTATGCAGGTGCTGACTAGCCCTGGCCCAAAGCAATTATGCTCAGTCCTGTTTCCATTTCAGTGGAGTTGTTGGGAGCCCGCACCAGCCATGCTGGGAGCATTTATTGTGATCAGCAAGCCCTGCATGGCAGGCTTTTTTTTCCCCCCTTGGAGAGCTAATTGTCAGATTCTTATCAGTACATCACTGTTCAACAGCCAAACATACAGTTACATCAGTGTCAGAAGTGACATCACAAAAGCCCTAGAGTCTCAAGAAGGGAGAAATTGCCAAGCATGGTGGCACACACCTTTAATCCCAGCACTCAGGAGGCAGAGGCAGGTGGATCTTTGTGAGATCTAGGCCAGTGTGGTCTATGTAGCAAGTTCCAGGCCAACTGGGGCTACAGGGAGACCCTGTCTCTAAAAGGGGATGGAGAGTATTCTTCTTGGAGAAGCAACAGGCTTTATGGAGAAGTTTGGAAAGTTTACCTACTAAGTTACAGTATGTATTTCATAAAACCAGGAGCCTCTGGTCCCACTGACTGTCCCTGAGGTGCTGATCCTCATTCTTCTCTCCCAGGCCTGCACTCCTGAGAAGCGCTGAAAACTTCACTGTACTCATCAAGAACAACATTGACTTTCCCGGCCATAACTACACTACGTAAGTGTCTCAAATATCTGGCTGTATGTATCAGTTATCTATGGCTCTGTAACAAAAGATCCCAAACCTAAGAGGTCTAACATAGCAAGAGCTTATTCTCTTCCTAATATGTGGGTCAAGACTCTGGAAACGGCTTTGCTGGGTGGCTTTGGCTCAGGATCTTGCTAGAGCTGTCTGCCAGAGCTACTGTCATCTCTACACTTGACTGGAGCTAAGTCCTTTTCTAGCTCTACCGATGTGGTTGTTGGCAGGAGGACTAATTTCCTCTGTGAGCACCTCTCCCCAAGACAGCTTGAGTGTCCTTAGATCATGCTGCCTGGCCTCATTGAGTCAGTGATCTGAGATAGCAGGTAAACAAGGGCAACCAGGATGGAAGCCACAGTCTTTGGAAGTAGAGCCACTACTTCTGCAACATGCTTTGGTCACAAAGACTGTCTCTGGCACAACTTGAGAGCACACACTTGACAAGGGTCTTCAGGAAACAAGGGAGCTGCCTCACAGCTCACTCCAATGAGAGATGGGTTTGTTTGCAATAAAACAATGTCAAGTTCAGCAATGTCCCATTGGAGCATGACACCAGCCATGGTGGAGATTTTTATAGCATGGTAATCAGCAAGTGCTTCTGCTTTCTCTCTAGAGAGGTGGTTAAGACATCTGTTTGCTTTCAATTCTGCACAGGAGAAACATCTTGCCAGGTCTGAACATTTCTTGCACCTTTCACAAGACTCAGAACCTTCAGTGTCCCATTTTCCGACTAGGAGACATCTTCCAGGAAACAGGAGACAACTTTTCAGAAGTGGCAATTCAGGTTGGTGGGTCTTTGCACAGTGCTTTGCCAGGGGTGGAGAATGTCAAATGACCAAGAAGCCAACATTCTGGGTTCTAAAATCATGCCTCACATTCCTGTGTATTTGGTAATCTATGGCCAGTGCCAAGGACTTTACCTGCTTTCCTTCAGCGAATCCCACAATCCTCTAAGTGAGCTATTTGGTGCATTAGTCTCCTGTAACTGCTGTAACAAATTACCTCTAATGTGGCAACTGAAAACAACACACGTTTTATTCTGTGCTTGGAGTCACAAGTCCAGAGTCTGTTTCACAGAGCTAAAATCCAGATGACAGGGCCACACTCCCTCTAAAATCCAGGTGGGAGGACCACACTCCCTCTGGAGGCTTCAGGGGAGAATGCACGCCTTTACATTTCCATCCTACCAAGCTGCACTCTGTATTTCTTGATTCTCAGCTCTTTCCTCCATCTTTAAAGACAAGTACCTAGCTTCATTGATCATACTGACTTTTTTTTAAAGCCTCTTTATGTAAACTAGGCTGGCCTGGAACTCTTCATCCTCCTTCCTCAGCCACTTCAGTGTCAGGGTTCCAGGCATGTGCCACCATATTGTGTCCAATTTCTCTCCACCTCTCCTATAAAAATACTTACCTTTAGGGGAAGGGCTGTTTCTAGGAATGGCACATAAGACCAGGATAACCTCTCCATCTCAAGATCCTTCATTTGCTCACCTCCACCAGAGCTTTTCTTGAGAGAACACTGAGAGAAAAAGCAGAAGAGGTATTTGATGGAGTGTCCTGGATTCTAGTCTAATCAGTTAATCTTAATCTTCAATGAGGAAGAGGCATGGAAAGAATTTGAATGCAAGAATGATTAATTGATAGTCAGGTATGCTGGTGCACGCCTTTAATCCCAGGAGGCAGAGGCAAAGGAAGATCTCTCCAAGATCAAGGCCAGCCTGGTCTATGTAGTGAGTTCTAGGCCAGCTACAGCTACAAGGAGACTGTCTCAAAAAGACAGAAAAAATGGTTAGTCAAGAGTTATATTTTAGGTATGTCTCAGATGGGAAGAGACGGGAGGAGTGTCTGCAGCCACCATGGTATTCTAACTCATGTTTATGGCTCTGAAACCTTTAATCAGCATTTTCCCCATAAAGAGGAAGTCTCTGCAGCGATATTGCTATGCAAGATAATGTCAGATAGCTGCATAACCCATGTCCAGCAGGCTTAGCAACTTCTCTTGTTGATCCCCCTAGGGAGGAATAATGGGCATTGAGATCTACTGGGACTGTAACTTGGACAGCTGGTCCCATCACTGCCGTCCCAAATACAGCTTCCGTCGCCTGGATGACAAGACCACCAACGAGTCCTTGTACCCTGGCTACAACTTCAGGTGACAGTACTCCAATGTGCTAACGAGAAGATACTGGTAAACAAAGTAGACAAGGTTGCAGCTTCCATGGTTGCTACTGTATTCTTATAAGGTTAATAGACAAAAATATAAGTAAATGAAACTTTACAGGTATTCAATATTATTAGTCATTAGGGAAATGCAAATTAAAATCACAGTAAGATACCACTGTAAGGCCAAGGAGATGGCTCAGCAGGTAAGGGTTCTTGAAGATCCCACATGGTGGGAGGAGAGAACCGACTTGATCTCTGACCTCCAAGTATGTGCCATGGAGTAAGCGCACGCGCGCACACACACACACACACACACACACACACACAAACACACACAATAAATAAATAAATAAATGTTAAAATTGGAGAAAACAATACAAATGTAAATCTGCTGGAATGGCTACAGTTTAGAAAGATGGGCAACTTATGGGGCTAATGAGGTGTCAGTAGATAGACTGCAAACATGAGGACCTGAACTCAGATCCTCAGCACCCATATGAAAAGCTGGGCTTAGCAGCACACATCTGTAATCCTAGCGCTGGGGAGGTGGAGACAGGCAGACAGAGCTCTGAGATCAAGGCCAGCCTGGCCTACATAGTGAGTTCCAGGCCAGCTGGGGCTAGAGGGAAACCCTGTCTCAAAAAACAAAATAAATAATAAAAGAAACAAGAAAGCTTTGTACACAAATATTCATAGCATCATTATTCAAACAACTGAACGATTTATCAACAGATAAATGGTTGAATTGTACTATATTTGCACAATAGAAAGCTCCTTGTTACAAATTTTAAAAGGAATAAGGGAGCTGGAGAGATGGCTCAGTGGTTAAGAGCACTGGCTGCTTTTGCAGAGGACCCAAGTTCCCAACACTTACATGGCAACTAACAACTGTTTGTAACTTCAGTTCCAGGGGATCTGATACCCTCTTCTGACATCCACAGGCAATCCATGCATGAATGCACTTATATACAATGCAGGCAATAGACTCATACACATAAAAGTACACAAATAAAATTAATGCTGGGCATGATGGCACATGTCTTTAATCCTAGCAGTTGGGTGGCAGAGGCAGGTGGATCTCTGTGAGATCAGGGCCAGCCTGCTCTACATAATGAGTTCTAGGCTAGACTATTGATACATGCACTAACCTAGGCGAATTAGTCCTATAGACACTACACTTGAGTGAGTATGTGCTCTATGACATGTCATCTATATGAAGTTCAAGAATGGGCAAAACATGGGCCAGTGAGATGGGTTAGTGGATAAAGGTGCTTGAGTTCAATCTTCAGAACTCATACAATGGAAAGAGAGAACCACCTACAAGTGGTCTGCTGACCTCCACAAGTGCCATGTTGTACAGACACACACACACACACATACATGTAAACAAATAAGTAATAAATGTAAAAAAATTTTTAAACAGTGCGCCAAACTCATCTATTATGGTAGAAGACAGAATAGTGGGTTCTGGGCTGGAGAAGGAGAAAGTAGTAAGAGTTTTCTGGGAAAACGGAATGCTCTGCATTGAAGGAATTTTGATGATCACCCGGGGTATTCATTGTCGAAGCACACTGAATGAAACCCTTAATACTCATGCATTGTAATATCTGTAAATGATATTTCATTAGAACAAACAGTCAAATCTAACTAGACCATTTCTGAGGGTGATAAATGCCATGAAAAAAATCAAGCAAGATAGTATGGTGGGGAGAAGTAGCCAGGGAAGCCCTCTCGGAGCAGGGCCAGGACTCCTGAAGGCATGACTCCTTTTCCTGAGGATGCTGCTTTCCTAATTAAGAGAACAAGGTACAGAGACAGGAGCCTGTGTTCTGAGAAGCAACTTGGAAAACACTGTAATAGGTATAAAGTCCTTTCAAGTAGAGTCTAGACTAGTGGTTCTCAAAGGAGAGTCTAGTAGACTAGTGGTTCTCAAAGGAGGCCTTAAGCACCAGCGTCCCGCAGAGACTCAAAATTGCACCTTCCCAGGCCTGGCCTAATTCTCCTGAATCAGACCACACAAAGGTGGAGCCCAGTGATCAGCATTTTCACAAGCACTAGAAGAATCTGCTGTTGGCTGAAATTTGAAAACTACTGCTCTAGACCCTTGATCCTCAAAGTTTGGTCTTGGAACCTAGGTCATGGGCCTCACCTGGGAGCTTGATGAACATCATAGGGCCCCTCCTTCAACTTCCTGCACTAGAACAAGTTCCCCTGGAGATTCATAATCTCCAGTTCCCCTGGAGATTCAAAAGTTGACAATTTGTTTGTTTGGTTTTGGTTTTTTTGAGACAGGGTTTCCCTGAAGCCCCCCACTGGCCTGGAACTTGCTACATAGACCAACCTGGCCTCAATCTCACAGAGATCTGCCTGCCTCTGCCTCCTGAGGGCTGGGATTAAAGGTGTGTACTACCACGCCCAGCATCTTTGACAGTTTTTTAACTTTCATTTACTTCTTTGTGCCTGTAGAATGTTTTTAAAACTTGTGCTAGCCTACATAAAGACCTGGACTTCCTGTTATTCCTGAAAAACTAAACTATTTGAGAAAAATTTTAACTATTTAACAATATCAGGTCCATATCCCACATGGCAGCCGTTGGCTGGAGCTGAGTAGGTGTCTTGCTTTCTCACTGTTCTCACTACTCATTTGTGTCTTTTTAGTTTAATTATTTATTTTTATTTTATGTGTATGAGTGTTTTGTCTGCATGTAAGTGCACCATGTATGTGCCATGCCTTTGGAGGCCAGAAGAGGGCAATGGAGCTCCTGGAACTGGGGTTACTGCCAGTTGTGAGCTTCCATGTGGGTGCTGGAAATCAAACCCAGGTCCTCTGCAAGAGCAGCCCATGCTCTTAACTGCTGAGAAATCTCTCCAGCCTGTCTTTATGTGTTTATATGTGGCCTGCATTCCTTATGTCCATCTTTTGCGTGGTCCCTGTGGAGGTTTGAGTTTGAGACCCTTGGCTCAACATCAGGCTGGCTGAGGTTTTTGCCTCCTCTGGGGCAATGGAGATTCATCCAGGGCACAGGAAGCAGCACTCCTGCTGCTCTGCTGGATCGGTTATGGGCATTAGAAAGAAAGAGAGGACAGGTTGAGTGGTCCCCTGACAGCCGAAGCATGGGGCAAGGAACCAATCAGACATTAGCAAACTCCAGTCTCAGAGCTAAACCTAGGAACATCAGGTCCTGGCGCAATCTGAGCTCTCTGAAAGCCTGAGGGGGTTATGAACTTGGTATTCTTTTAGAATAAAGCATTAATACGTTTGTTGTTGAAAGAGCACCAGAAGGAATCTTTGGCCAAAAATAAATTGTAGAGATCTGATAGACAAGGGGTCAAGTTATTTTCAAATAGCCTTACAAAAAAAGAAGGAAATTACAGGATATATGAGGTATTTAGGAAAATATAACTTTCTAACATACAGGAAGTTAAAAGAAGTCCACATTACATAATTTTGTCCTCAAGAAAAAGATTTATAGGGGCTGAGGAAATGGCTCACTTGGAAAAGTGCTCACTGTACAACCATGAGGACATGAACCTAGACCCCTAGCACCCACAAAGAAAGCCAGGCCTAATGGGGTATACTATAATCTCAGCCCTGGGCAGGTTGAGACAGGAAGATCCCTGGGCCTTGATTGCTCATTGGTCCAACCAAATTGATGAGCAGCAGATTCTGTGAGAGACTATGTCTGAGAAAATAAGGTAGAAAGTGATTGAGGGAGACACCCGATGTAGACCTCTGATCTCCAAACACACAAACACCCTGAAATAAAAAGAAGATTCACTACAAAATTCCTTCCTTTGGTGAACATCTGATTTGGCTGACTGGCATGTGTGGCATAAGGGATGAATGATGCACTTCTCAGGTCCAGAATGTGTATGAACAGGTATCAGTTTCCCTGACTGCTATAATAACTTGCCACAAATGGCTAAAGCAGCAGAAATTTATTCTCTTATGGAAACCGGGAATCTGAAATCCAGGTGTCAGCAGGGCCACCCTCTCTCTGAAGGCCTGAGAGGAGGCCTTTTCTTGCCCTTCTGGTTTCCGTTGATTCCAGGCATCCCTTAACTTGAGGCTGAACACTCCCAGCTCTGCTTTCAGCTCCAAGTGGCCTTCTCCCTTGTGTCTCCTAGTCTAAATTTCCATCTTCTTTATTTTATAAGAATGCCTGCTAATCCTTGGATGTAGGATTACCCTGAATTCAGGGCAAACTCATCTTGGGATCCTTAATTGCATCTGCAAAGACCCTGTTTCCAAATAAGGTCATATTCCTGGGTGCTGGCCTTGGAGTTAGGTACTTAGGCCTATCATCTTTGGGGGCTACTATTCAATCCCTTACAGTGTGCAGAAAAGCATCCTTGTCCAATGTTCCTCAAAGTGTGGCCCGCTGGAAAACCACAAACCGTTACTAAGATGGACTCCTAGAATATTTCAGACCTTCTGAAACAACTCTGGCATTAAGACCCAGGGGCTAACCTTTCAAGCAGTCTCATCACATGATTTTTGCTCTCAGTTTAAGAGCTACAGTAGCAAGACCATGAAAGTTGAAATTCAAATACTTGCAAAGTTAACTTTCCCAGGCAAACCAACAGCAGGCTCAGAGTGCTAATGAATGCTTGCTTATGTATTTAAAAACAAATCACTAAATAGAACAGAAAAGAGAGCTGTCTTAGAATGGGACAAACAGATTCAAGGAAAGGCAACCCCTCAGGCCAGAAACAGGCATCATCAAAGTACCGAGACTGACTGATCTTAACATCAGATTTTGAAAGTTTTAACAGTTTCAGATATTCCATGCTGTATTTTGGCAGAGCATCTGTCTTCTGTTTTCTTCTTTCCCTACACCTGTAAATAAGTTGTGAATAACTCAGAAAGAAGATGCAAATCCTTATGTAAAATCAAACAGCAAAAGGTAGAGAGAGAGACACGTTTTCCTGAAGTATGTGGGTTTTCTTGTATTAAGGCTTTTTTTCATTTTCTTATTTTTGTTTTCTTTTGCTTTTTAAAATTTATTTTTATTTCATGTATATGAGTATTATGTCTGCATATATGTAAGTGCACCTGTGTCATACAGTGCCTGAGGAGGCCAGAAGAGGGTATCAGATTCCCCTGGAACTGGAGTTATGGATGGTTGTTAGCCACCATGTGAGTGTTGGGATCTGAACTCAAGTCTTCTGCAACAGCAATCAGTACTCCTAATCACCTAACCATCTCTCCAGCTTTTTCTTTTGCTTTTTTGAGTCAGAATCTAACTATGTAGTCCAAACTGACCTTGAAGTCACTGTGCAATGCAGGCTGGTCTGAAATTCAAGGTACTCCTCCAGTCAACCTTTCATGTGCCAGGATAAAAGCCTCATCCACATGCCCACCTAGAGATGTGTGGTTTGTCTTCCCAATTTATGAAAAATAAAACTACTTTTCCTGACTACTGTACTTGTTTGGGGTAGGTGTGGTTTGTGCAGGGTTAGTTCATGAAGATGACTGTGTGATGACACAGACAGGCCAGTATGTCAAAAGTGGACTTCTTGGTACATATCCTAAGATGTGGGGGCAGACCACATCACACAGGGCCACAGGAGAATCACTGGTTTAGTTAGAAGCAAAAGAGGGGATGAGACCCAGAGATGGTTCTGTGATTCCCACAGGAAAGGTGGGCAGAGCTGGAGAAAAAGCTGAGGGATATGAGTTTGAATACTGTCATCAGGCACCAGGCTACAAGGAACTTAATGAACTGTGTTCTGGTTCTGACCCTACCTGGCCCTGAATAACTGAGGGTGGAGAAACAGTGGTTTGGTGTGAGAGTCAAATAGAAAAGGTGGTTTCAGGGTATGGACTTAGGACTGGCCTGAAGATTTTGAATATGATTCTCACAAGCTCATAAAAGTTGGATTGCAGGGGCACTGTCTACAAAGTGACCTTTAGTTTGACTCTGTGATTAATAGATGACAATCAGATGAGCACAGAATCTAGGAAAATACCTTAAGACAGACCATTGAGTTGTGCCTCTTCTAAATATAACAAATGGTATCTAAGACTCACCCTTCCCTCTTTCACGGCTTTGTTCTAGAAGCCAAACCTGTTTTTCCTCAAGAGATAATCACATTGCAGCCAGATGGGGTAGTACACACTTTTAATCCCAGCACTCAGAAAGCAGAGGCAGGAGGATCTCTGTGAGTTAAAGGCCTACCTGGTCAGCATATGAGTTGCAGGCCAACTAAGGCTAAACAGTAAGATTCTGTCTCAAAAAGGGATGGGGAGGCTGGAGAGATGGCTTATCTGTTAAAAACATTTGCTGCTCTTCAAGGGGACCAGTTTGGCTCCCAGCACCTATGTCAGGTAGCTCACCATCTGTATCTACATCTCTGAGGGCACCTGCACACATGCGGCATACACTTACACATCATTAAAAATAAGTTTAAGAAAAAAGTGGACACACACACACACACACACACACACACACAAATAAATCTAAAAAAAATTAAAAGAGAGATGATCACCTTGCTTGAAGTTTTTAGACTTTTTTGCTTATTGCTATTTCTATATTGCTTAGACTGTTGGTCATTTTCATATGAAACTCAAAGCTGGTTTCCTATCACTATGTGATGATGGAAACAGGGGAGGCAATACGGGGGACATTCTGAATCCAGTTGGTCAAAGAGTAATTTGTTGGGTGGATTGTACTCTTTCCTCAGCCAACTGTGGTAGACCTTGAACGTAGATGGGGAAGACCGGATTGGCTATTGGTTTGCTTTTCTCTCCATAAAATACTAGCACTTTCAAAGAAATCATTGTAAATATGGATCCTTTTCCTCCTGTAGATATGCCAAGTACTATAAAGAAAACAACATTGAAAAGCGAACGCTGATCAAAGTCTTTGGGATCCGTTTTGATATCCTGGTTTTTGGTACTGTAAGTCTCTCCTTCCTTCAGCACCTCTATCCTATGTTTGTGTCCTAATGATGGCTATAGTGAGGAGTGAATGCTTGGGATCATAGTCAATAGCTGTGACTGTGGGGTTCTGTGAGTTTCACTTGTGAGATGAGGAGGAAGAAATGTATTCATGATTCTCTTCACAAACAAGCCATCCAAAAAACACAGAATGTGATTGGGAAAAACATTCTAATATCCAACTTTCATTTGTTTTGTTTCTCTGGGACAGACCTTTGCTACATAGCACTGCTAGCCTCAAATTCTCAATCTTTCTGCCCCATCTTCCTAAGAGCTGAATTACAGGTGGGCACTACCATGCCAGCTCTAATACTCAACTTTTTTTTTGAGACAGAGTCTCAAAAAGAGTTTGACTGGCCTCAGACTCACTATGTAGATCAGGCTGGCCTCAAACTCACAGTGATCTACCTATCTCTGCCTCCTGAGTGCTGGGATTAAAGGTGTATACCTCCATACTTGACTCAACATTTTTTATATGTGCATGAGTTTTACGCCTGCACATGTGTAAGTGCACCCGTGTCATGCAATGCCCGTGGAGGACCGAAGAGGGCATCGGATCCCCTGGAACTGGAGTTATAGATGGTTCTTAGCTACCATGTGGGTGCTAGGATTCAATCCTAGGTCCTCTTCAAGAACAGCTAGTGTTTTTAACCACTGAGCCATTTCTTCAGCACCCATCAACTTTTAAAATATTGATACTGACCTGAGGAGATAGCTCAGTTGTGCAGTGCTTACTGAACCAGCATGAGAACCCGATTTCAGAGCTCCAGAGCTCATCTAAAAAGGTGGATGAGGCAGCACATACCTGTAACCCCAGCCCTGGGAGTGAATACAGAAGGTCCCCAGGAAATTGATGGCAGCCAATCTAGCTGAAATGGTGAGTTCCAGATTCAGTGAGAAAGTCTGTCTCAAAAAAATAAACAAACAACCCACCCAAAAAAAACAAGATCAAAGAGCAACTGAGGAAAGACACCCTAAAATCTCCTTCCACACATGATTGCAAGAGGTGAAGGCACCTCCACACACATACACACACATGTGCACACATATACACATATAACACACGCACTAAATAAATAACTACATAACTCTGCTAGGGATGTAGCTCAGTTGGTAGAATGTGTGAAGTTCTGGGTTTGATCCCCAGCATCACATAAACTGGACATAATGGCACATGCCTGTAATCCTATCATTTGGGAGGTGGAGGCAGGAGGATCAGGAGTTCAAAGTCACCCTCAATTATATAGGGAGTTCAAAGCTAGTCTAAGATTCTTGAGACCCTATCTAAAATAAATAAATAAATGGAACCACTCTGCAAAATAATTTGTAATAGACTCTAACTCAAATTGGCTTAGGGGAAAAAAGGGTTTTGTTGTTGTTGTTGTTGTTGTTGTTGTTGTTGTCCACATAACTGAAAAATCCAGGCGTAATTTCAGGCTTCAGATTTGGCTGGATCCAGGTGTTCAAACATCTTGAGGAATCTCTCCTCCCTTCTTACATCTGTTCTCCTGTTTTGGTACTGTCCCCAGATGGCCATCTCTTCATGGTGGTGTCAGACAACTCTTGATATCTAACTAGGTTAGCAACATTAATGAAAGAATATCTATTTGCTGGAAGTTTCAGCAGAGGCTTTAGGCAAAAACCATTGTTTCAGCTTGCTCTGTATGGGCCATGTGTCCACTGCTGCACCAGTTGCTATGACTGGGTTCATACCATGCTCTCAATGTCTTGGACCATTCCTGACCTGGCTTAAGGACCAGAGGACAGAACCAGCTACCTCTACTTCCATGACCCACCAGACTGTATGGACCAATGATAAAGGGAGGTAGTTCTCCAAAAGAAAATTGGGGCTGGAGAGATGGCTCAATTGTTAAGAGTGCATGCTGAAAATGAGGAGGAGAAAAGAAAAATGAGGAAGAACCCAGTAGAGGGATGATTTTGGAGGCTCTCATTGAGAAATCACCATGGGCTCTGATATGGACATATGAAATTTGCCTTGTTCTGACTTTTTTTCTGGTTCCCTGTCTAGAACTTGTAGTGCTAACTACTCTTGACTTTACTTCTCCTTCACATCCCCTATTCACCAGTCAAGGACTTTCTTTTCTCCCTACAGAAAAGAGTTATGCAATTTGCGAGTCTTTTAAATAGACCCACTGAAGGGGTACTCCAGTTGCCTCACCCTGCATCCCTGTTCAGCATGGAAGAAGCCACAGCAGTCTGCTTCCGAATTTCCTATTGATAATTTGGGTAACCTCTTCAGAGGATGGAGTGATAATAACAGGAGATAGGAATTGACTAGGCAGTTAGGGTAAAAAGACTCCAAAGAATATTGACCAGGTTCCTGGCTAAAAGTCAAAATGTCCTCAGGTCTCTTAGCAACATACTATGTTCCAAAGGCCAAAAATGTCAAAAGTATTTGGGAGCTCTTATCTAATCCCTAAAAGGACTTTAGGATTACCTCTTCAGAGGGGGAAATGTTAGAGTAGCAAAAAGCCCCATTTAAGAAAGAAAGAAAGAAAGAAAGAGAAAGAAAGAGAGAGAAAGAGAGAGAGAAAAAGAAAGAGTACACGAAGTTGTCAGAAAAAAAGTGATGGGGAGATATGGGAGGTGTTGGAGGGGAGGGAGTGGGTGTGGATTTGATTGAAACATCTTATATGGATGTATGAAATTCTCAAAGTTTTTTTTTAAGTTAAAAAGAAACAATTGACCATTTGAATTTGGAGTCATATTATACAATTAAATTTATTATTTTAATTTGAAAAACCACTAATAAATAAAATGTCTTTTTCCATTTTTTTAAAAAAAGAGTGCTTGCTGGGTCTTCTAGAAGACCTGCGTTTGGTTCCCAGTACCCATGTCAGATGACTTGCAAGCACCTGTAACTCCAGCTCTAGAGGACCTGAAACCTTCCTCTGGGCCTCTGAGGGCACCAACACACACACGCGCACACACACACACACACACAAACACACACACACACACACACATCTATTTTAAAAGAAAGAAAAGAAGCTAGGCATGGTGGCTCACACCTTTAGTTCCAGCACTTGGGAGGCAGGGGCAGGTGGATCTCTGTGAATTCAGGGCCAGCCTAGTCCACACAGCAAGCTCCAGGTCAGCTGGGGCTACAGGGAGACCCTGTCTCAAAAAAAAAAGACTCACCTACCAGCCAGCATATCCAAGTTCACAAGCTCTAACATCAAAGGTGGGTGGCATCCTTAGGAACTATGCCTGAAGTTGACCTCCATATATGCATGCCCCTCACACATGCACCTGTGCACACACATGAACATGTACACACACGAAAGAAAGAAAGAAAGAAAGAAAGAAAGAAAGAAAGAAAAAGAAAAGGAGCCGGGTGTGGTGCACGCCTTTAGTACCAGCACTTGGGAGGCAGAGGCAGGTGGATCTCTGTGAGCTCGAGGCCAGCCTAGTTTACATAGCAAATGCCAGGCCAGCTGGGGCTACAGGAAACCCTGTCTCAAAAAGATCAATAAGAAAGAAAAGGAAATTGGGGTGAGGGAAGGAGAGGATGCTAGGCACTTAAATATGAATAGATGCCCATAATGTCCTGCTTGGCAGCATGTGATTGATGTTAGAGTATAGCACAAGAATCAATGAAATATAACTTAGAGGATGGAAAGGCTATTGAGAGTGGACCCTGAAGACACCACTGGGCAAACAGGCTTGGGTGAAGACATCCCTCTGCTTCACAGGTATTTATGCACCGCCTGTAATTTGTTGCCTGTAGGAAGAGTGTCTGAAACCCTCACCACATGTGGAAAACAACCATCTGTGGGTCTTCCTTACCAGCCATGTGTGTTTAAACATTCTAGATGGCAGGAACAGGATGCAAGTGTCTCATAGTCTCTATGGTGTGCATCTCGATGCTAACACAAGGTTCTGTTCCCTGCTAGATCCACAGCTGCAAGTTAGAATAAAAGAACACATTGCTCTGGATTTCAACTAAGTAACTTTCCCTGCTGTTTCAGGGAGGAAAATTTGATATCATCCAGCTGGTTGTGTACATTGGATCCACCCTCTCCTACTTCGGTTTGGTAAGAGATTCTCTTCCCCTGCTTTAAGAAAACGATTTGAAGTGGCCATGATGGTGCACATCTTTAATCTCAGCACTTGGGAGGCAGAAGCACACAGATCGCTGTGAGTGTGAGGCCAGCCTGGTCTAGTGAGTTCTAGACCAGCTAGGGCTATAGGGAGACCCTGTCTCAAAAAACAAAAACAAAGAAAATGATTTGGGGACTGGAAAGATGACTCTGTGGTTAAGAGCACTAGCTGCTCTTGTAGAAGACCCAGGTTTGGTTCCCAGCACCCACATGGTGGCTAACAACTGTTTGTAACTCCAGTTCTAGTCCCTCTTCTGGGGTCCATGGGCATTTGCATGTGGTGCACTTACATATATGCAGGCAAAACACTCATACACATAAAATAAAAATAAATAAAATTTTTGAAAAAGAAAATTATTTGAGTGCTGGGCATGATCGTGCATACTTTTAATCCAAGCCCTGGGGAGGCAGACGCAGGTGAATCTCTGAGTTCTAGACCACCTGGTCTGCATAGTGAGTTCCAGGTCAACCAGGCCTACACAGTGAGACCCTCTCAAAAATAAAACAAGAAAACAATTTGGCAAAAAGAAGCTTTGCTGCTACAGTGCCTGTTTGCTTTTCCACAGGCCACCGTGTTCATTGACTTTCTCATCAATACATACTCCAGTAGCTTCTGCAAGGCCAGCATTTACCCCTGCTGTAAGTGCTGTGAGCCCTGCTCAGTGAATGAGTACTACTACAGGAAGAAGTGCGAGTCCATCATGGAGCCAAAGCCCGTAAGCCATGCTGCTTCTCTGGGACACCCAGACACACAGATTGTATAGATGACTGAAAACTGTGTAAAAACAATAGGCCAATAGCATAGGTCAAGCCCATAGTGTGTAACTCACTGGACAACCCCAAGCAACTGTCTCTCTGATGAGTCCTTTGGCCTTAAGAAAGGATAGAAACAAAAATAGGGAAGCCAGATATCCTGGGAAGACAATTTTTTATGATCTAGTTTTGTCACTTATTACATTGGAACAGTTCCCTCCCCCATCCTCAAATAGTGTAATGACTTTGGAGAACAAGTCATTCAGCAGTGACTAACAACATTTAAGAGCCTGGTATTTCCATTTTTCCATACCTACCTACAGAAACTTTCATGTGAGGCACACATGGTACACGTGAACAAGATACTCACTGCAGCAGAATAGTTAAGTTGGTAATAATAGATGAGGCCTGGGGTATAGTTTAGTGATAGAGCACTTGATTAGCATGTGTGAGGCCCTGGGCTCACTTTCCAGTATTATATACATATATATATATACACATATATATATATTTGATAGGAAGAAATAACATCTACCCAAATGTTCACTGGGTGAATGGTGAAAGAAACCATGATAAATCCATGGTGAAGAATACCAGTCACCCGCTAAAAAGAACAAGGTAGATAGGACCAGGTATGGCAGTACATACCTGTAATCCCATTACCTAGAAGGCTAAGGCAGGAATAATAGAGTTCCTTGTTTCAAAACCCAACCCATCAACCAATAGCAACAAGCATAGCTGGAAAAGTAGATGTGGTCACTATGCCTATAATCCAAGTACTTAGATGCTGAGGCAAGATTATATCATGAGACCCTGTCTCAAAAAAAAAAAAAATCACACACCAACACCCAAGGGGTGTGTGGGGAGAGGTTAAGTATTTTTCCCAAAGTCATACAAATAGTAAATGGTAGAGCTCCAGCTTTGGCAAACTGGCCTGAGAAGCTGCTATAACCACTTAGGTATAGGTGTTGACATGAGCAAATAGCCAGACAGAGGCTTGTTCAGAGGAAAAAACTAAGTGAAAGAAGCATATGTATGTCATGACATATAGGTTAAGAAAACAACTATATGAATAATCCAATTCTATGTACTCTCTATATTTGTATTTCATGGATAGATATGTATACACACATATATTGGTGTAGGTGAATACTATATATACTAAAGGTCCTGGATACACACAAGAATAGTGGTGGCTTCTGGCAAGGACTCTGAGATGGGAGAGTAGACACATCTGTATTGTTTGAGAGTAGACACATCTGTATTGTTTTACTTTAATTTGGACTTTATTAGGCAGGTCCATCCCACTCAACTCCATGATTCCCCTTAAAGAGAACCTCTGGTATCTAAAAACAAAGAGGATTCCTTTGTTTTCCCTTACCTGGGAACACTGCTGTCCTTCTCCAGCAGCTGAATGCACTGTCCATTTTCCATTGTGCATGTGCTCCCAATGAACACAAAAGTTCAGGCAGGCCACGTATGGTGGCATTCACCTGTAATCTCAGCAGAAGGGAGAATGAGGCAGGAGGATGGTGAACCTGAGGCTAGCCCAGACTGGAGAATAAGACCCTGTCTCAAAAAGGAAAAGGAGACAGAGAGAGGAAGAAGGGGAGGAGGGAGAGAAAGAGAGAGAGAAGGAAAGGAGGGGGCAGAGAGAGAGAGAGAGAGGAGGAAAAGAAAAAGTCCCCTTTTTAACTAAAAATAACCATGGCTTAGCGTGGGATGAGTGAAATTTAACAGACCTACAAATAATTTAAGTTGCAATACCACAGGAAAACTGAACTTGAGAAAGCACAGAACAGCACACCATGCCTGGGACATAGCATATGCTGGGCTGTGGCCAGGCTGGGTCTCCAAGTTAAGGAATGTGGGGTTCTATTTCTGACTCCCTTTTAGCCTTAGAAACCATTTACTCTTAGTTAGCAAGAATTTGGGGTTGGCTTGTTTGCCATGTGGTAAATGTGATTAACAGATGTGTTTACTTATATTTGGATAAGGCAATTCTTGATAATCCTGTACAAAAACAGATAAACTTTGCAAACTTCTTTTCCTAGACATTAAAATATGTATCCTTTGTGGATGAATCCCACATTCGGATGGTGAACCAGCAGCTGCTTGGGAAAAGTCTGCAAGTTGTCAAGGGCCAAGAAGTTCCAGTAAGTGAAAACATTTAGTCTTTTTTTAGGAAACTTTGCTATTAAATATAAACACATGTAGATATTTATATAAATCACAGCTGATGAATTTTAGAAAAGTAAACATACTCATATAACCAGCACCCAGGTTGAAAAATTAGATGTTTTGAAGCCAGGGGTGGTGGGGTCCATCTTTAATCTGAGCACTCAGGAGGCAAAGGCAGGCAGATCTCTGTGAGATTGAGGCCAGCTTGGTCAACATTGGGAGTTCCAGGCCAGTCGAGGCTACAGGGAGACTCTGTCTCAAAAAAAAAAAAAAAAATTAGATGTTTTAGGGTTGGCGGGATGACTCAGCAGGGAAAGGCACTTGCTGCCAAGCCTGACCATCTGAGTTCAAGCCCCAGGTACCACATACCACATGGTAGAAAGAACTGATTCCAGCAAGTTGTCCTCTGTCCTCCACACATGTGCCATGGCATGTACGCATGCACACACACAAATACATATAATTTAAATATTTTCATTCCTAAGCTAGGGGAATAGCTCAGTAGTAGAGTACTTGCCTCAAGGAGAGTTAGAGAGATTGAATATTCCTAGCAGGTCTTTTTATGCCTCTACTTAATTGCTACTACCATCCCTTAAAAAATGGTTCTTATCTTGTATCCAAGGATTAGTTTTACCTCTTCTAGAATTTTATAAAAACTGAATTGTACAACCTAGGTGAGTTATCTATGTAATAGCCCAAGCCCTTGAGAGGCTGAGGCAGGAGGATTACTTGAATCCAGGAGTTCAGACCAGGCTGGGCAACACAATGAGACCCAGCCTCAAAAGAAAATCAAATCATCAGTACTCAGTCTGTGCTCTGCTGCATGCCTGGCTCCTGGATTCAATATCACTTTTGGAGTTACCTGTGACGTTGTGTATGGTAAACGTTCTTTCTCATTACTGTACAATTTCTGTTTTTATAAATCCTCTATTTATCCATTTCAGTATTTTAGACATTTTAGACATTTCTAGTTTAGGGACAAAGGCAAATTATGCCGTGAAGGTAAATGTGAGGGACTCTCTCAAGTGACCTGACAGTCACATGGCAGGCATATGTTCAGTTTTAGTAAATACCAACAAATGAGCTCCAATGTGGCTGCGCTCCCTGCATCAGGTCTGTTGTGAGCATCTTTGCCAACTGGATTGGTTTTCTGTGGCCATAATCAACAATTACAAAAGAGGTGGCTTAAAACAGTAAGTCTATTCTGCCACAGTCTGGACTCTAGACCTAGAAAGTAGAGGTGTTGGCAAGGCACTGGTCCCCCTGGAGGCTCCAGGGAAGAACCCTCCTGCTTTCTTCCTGCATCTGGTGTTCAAGATGCTGGCTAGGCCCCAGCAAGATGCCACACAAATGTGGAAACTGCAAGCCTCTCTACCTCCCTGTCTCAGTAAACAACTTTTCTATTTCATTATCCACCATACTGTTTTTGGTGAGCTTTCAAGAGTATCTATCAAGTCAGGCATGGTGGTACACGCCTTTAATCCCAGCACTTAGGAGGCAGAGGCAATGGCGCTCCGGGAGTTTGAGACCAGTCTGATCTACATAGTGAGTTTCAGGCCATTCAGGGCTACTACATAGTGAGACCTTGTCTCAAAAACCAACAACAACTAAAATAATGCTCTGTCAGATTCAGGAAATTCCCTTTTATGCTTTGTGAGGAATTTTTATCATGAATGTATATGGAATTTTTAAGTATATTTTCTGCTTCTTTGAAATAATCTGTCAGGTTTTCTTTCTGTCGCATGGTGAATTTCATTGATTGATCTGGGTTGGAGGATACTGGAGTTCAAACATAAATCTTTGATTGTGCTAGGTAAGCACATACCCTTAGCCATATCCACAGCCCTTTTTAATATGTTATTTTGGAACAAGATCTTGCTAAATTCCCAGGGCTGGCCCAAACTTATGATCTTCAGCCTCTAAAGCTGATGTAGCTTACTGATTTTCAAATATTAGGCATGTGTATAAGTGTGAGTGAATGAGTGTGTGTGTGTGTGTGTGTGTGTGTGTGTGTGTGTGTGTGTGTGTGTGTGTGTGTGTGTGTGTGTGTGTGTGTGTGTGTGTGTGTGTGTGTATGTATATGAGTGCATCTGTCTGCGTGTGCATATGGAGACCAGAAGTCAACATCAGCTATCTTCCTCAGTCACTCTCTACAATTTTCTCAAGCAGGGTCTCACTGACCCTGAAGCTCACTGATTCTGCTAGGCTGCTGGCCAGTGAGCTCCAGGGATCTTCCTGTCTTTGCCTTCTCAACATTGGAATTTCAGCTGTACAGTGCCTGGCTTTTTACATGGGTGCTAGGGACCTAATTCAGGTCCTTATGTTTGTGCAGCAAGTACTTTACCAACTGAGCCATCTCCTTATCGCTACAACCTTCCATTTTAATGTGATATGCTATTATTTCTATTTATTAATGGATCTGATTATATTCAGGATTTTTGTATCTCATCTTGGGAGATACTGGTTAAAAAGTTTCCTTTGTTACAGTGTCCTTGTAAAGTTTGGGTAGAAGATGAACTATTTAACAGTGTGTAACAGTGCATCTCTGTAATCCCAGCATTTGTAAGAGACAGGAAGATCAAGCGTTCAAGGACAGCCTTGGTTACATACAGAATTTGAGGCCAGTTTTTTTTTTTATTAATTCTGTCTCAAAAAAAGTGGACTATTTAGTTTTTGCAAGAGACAGTATGTGTGTGTGATAACATATACATAAAATAAAATTAAGCATTTAGCTATTTTAAAGTATGTAATTCAGTGATATTTTGTAGACCCCACTACTATCCAATCAGTCCACCAGCCCCAGAGCTTTTACATCTCTGCAAAGGAAATCTCCTATCTATCAAGCAGCTGCTTTCCACTACTTCCCATCCCCATTGCTCCTGATAACTACTGGCCTACTTCCTACTTTGTGTAAGTGGAATCGATACTGTGCAATCCTTTGTGTCTACTTCTTTCACTTAGTATAGTATCTTCAAGGCTCATCCATGCTGTTGTAAGTACCATTGTTTCATTCCCTTTTTGTGACTGAATAATATTCCTGAATAAATCACGGGGTTTTTTAGGGATTTTTTTGTTTTTGTTTTTTTATGTGTATGAGTGTATTGCCTGCATGTATGTGAGTGCACCTGGGTCGTGCAATGCTGCGGAGGTCAGAAGGGGGCTTCGGAGTCCCCTGGAACTGGAGTTAAGGACAGTTTGTAGCCACCATGTGGGTGCTGGGACTTGAACCCGGGTCCTCTGCAAGAGCAGTCAGTGCTCTTAACCGCTGAGCCATCTCTCCAGCCCCTAGACCATGTTTTATATTCTCATTATTTGATAGATACTGGAATTGTTTCTACCTTCCAGCTATTCTGAGCAGTGCTGCTGTGACATATAAGAACTAATCAGCTTTACATACAAGAACTAATCAGCTTTAATGTTCTTGACTCGGGTCTTCATACAATGAATAAAAACATATACCACAAAGAATAGGCATGGTGACTCTGGCAACTTCCCTTGGAGGGTAACAAATGGCTCTGCCCATAGAGAGAGACTGGCAGGGAGGGAAAGAGTGGAGCCGAGTCAACAAATATTTACTATCTACTGTGTGCTAGACACTGTCCCAGGCACCAGAGATATGCCACAAACAAACAAAGAACCTGCTTTCATACAGAAGATAAAATTCATCAAGGAAACATAAACTGATAAAACTTTTAGGAGCTCTGTCTCATGAAGAATGTGCTCTTTTGATGTGGTAAGAGAACTAGAGGGGAAATTCCTGCTGGGGTGGTCAGGGAAAGAGGCTATGTCTCAACAAAATTTTCTGAATTTCACTTTCCAAATAAGTAAAGTGGAGCCAAACATTGATAGATAGATAGATAGATAGATAGATAGATAGATAGATAGATAGATAGATAGATAGAATCTCACTGGAAGTTCTTCAAAGGCTTAATGGTAGAAACACAAGGCCAGCCCTAATACATACATTTAATAAACAATAGCTGCTCTGGCTAAGTAACATCAAATGTGATTATGTAAGTTAATAAAGCTAAAGAACCTAGAACCCTTGAGATTATTATTGCTGATGAGTCTGGAAACTTGACTTTTTCAGAGGCCCCAGATGAACTTCACAAACCTGTCCAAGCTGCCTATGTCTCTTGACAACCTAACCCTCATTCCTGGACAACCAGAGGAAATGCAGCTACTGCATGAAGAGGTGGCCCCCAGGTCTGGGGACAGCCCAGACTGGTGCCAGTGTGGAAACTGCCTCCCATCCCGGCTCCCCGAGAACCGCAGGTGCCTGGAGGAGCTGTGCTGCCGCAAGAAGCGGGGGCCCTGCATCACCTCCTCGGAGCTCTTTGCGAAGCTTGTGCTGTCCAGACAAGCCCTGCAGCTCCTTCTGCTCTACCAGGAGCCCTTGCTAGCACTGGAGGTAGAAGCCACCAACCGCCGGCTGCGACACTGTGCGTACAGGTGCTACACCACATGGCGCTTCTGTACCCAGGACATGGCTGACTTTGCCATCCTGCCCAGCTGCTGCCGCTGGCGCATCCGGAAGGAGTTCCCCAAAAGTGAGGGTCAGTACAGCGGCTTCAAGTATCCATACTGACAGTATGGCTGGCCAGCAGTCACATTATGGTGGCTCACAGTTGAGCTTCTCCCACAAAGGCCTACATGCATATTTTCAACCAAAGGAAAGTTAATTTTCCTTCCTTTCAGTTCTCCCTGTCTGAAACAACCCACCAGCGTCCAAACCTCTTCTCCCCATGGATGAGAGCCAGATTCAGATTCAAGCCTCTATTCTGTGCCACCCTTGGCCTTTAATGTCTGTACATTGGACTCTTCATTTCCCAACCAGCTTTCTCAGAGCTAGTGAGGACAGATTGAGATGGTGTTGTGACCTGTCTTGTAAATGTGTACAGAGGTCAGTGAATGAAAAGTGTCTCCCTATGAGGTCAATCTGGCTAATTTTTGACTAAGAACAAACCCTTCAGGATTTGAGAATGGAGAGATTGAGTGGCCACAAATTCTTTGATTCCCCATCCTAAAGATCCAAAGGCGCTGTTCCCTCCTTTGAGTATGGGCAGCTGTGGAGGCTTCATCAAGCAGTGGATATAAAGCCGGATCTGTCAGGATCTTGTCTTAAGAGACTGGAAGCTTCCACTTCCTGTCCTCAGAACTCTTCTGAGGAGGAAGCCAACTCCAGTTAAGATTCTATCAGGAGACCACCCTGTTATGAGGAAGTGCAGGCAGCTTCACAGAGAGGAAGTTCCCATCCAGCCACAGCTCACATGCTTCCCAAGCTCAGTCACCACACAAGGGAGAGAAACTGCCTTCAGATGATTTCAGAGCCTTCTGACATGTGACTGAAACTGCAGGAGACCCCTCACCCCACCCCCCTGAGTAAGAACTGCTCAGTCAACTAGAGGACCAGTCTTCTCTCTTAAGTCACTAATTTTTTATGGTTGGTACACAGTAGTTCATAACTGGGACAAGAACAAGTCTGATGCTTGGCGCCATCCCAGAGTATAGCTCTCTATTGGACAGTTGTAAGAGCCCTCACCAACCCAGTCTGGAAGCCATCAAATCTAACTGCATACCACCAGATGCAGTCCAATCTTCATTGCCTGCGTATCGGTCTAAGTGACTACTGTTGTTGGAAACTAGAAAAAGCCACCTTTGTGCCTTTAACCTCCTGGACTTTGCAGCTGGTGGGAATGGAGTCGATCTGGATGCTACCTTAAAAAGCAGTCCCAAAGCTGGGCAGTGGTGACACAAGCCTTTAATCCCAGTATTCAGGAGGCAGAAGCAGATCTCTGTGAGATATAGGCCAGCCTAGTCTACATGGTGAGTTCCAGGCTAGCTGTGGAAACCCTGTCTCAAAAAGACCAAAAAGGGAGGGGGGGAGCCTAGATTGATGTAAACATGAATTTAGAGCCCAGCACCCACATGAAAAGCTGGATGTGGGCTAGAGAGATGGCTCAGAGGGTAAAAGAGATTGCTATGCAAGGTTGATAACCTGAATTCCCGATTCAGAACCCATGGTGAAGGGAAAGAACCAACTCCCCGAAGTTGCCCTCTGATCTCAGCAGGTGTATGTGGGCTGGCACACAAGTGACCATATTCATAAACACATCATACACATATGTACACACATACAATAGTAATAAATAGATTTAATTAAAAAGTAAAAACTGGGACGGCTACATCCACTTATTAACCCAATGCTGTGGGGGATGGAGACAGGAGGATCACTGGGGCTTGTTGGCCTAGCTCCAGGTTTGGCAAGAGACCCTGTCTCATGGGAATAAGACAAAGAATGACTAACTAGGACACCTGCTGTCCTCTTCTGGCCTCTGCACATATGTGCACAGATATGTGAACCTGCATATCCACATGCCCTTATACCAAACATACACCACACACACACACATACACCATACCACACATACACACAAAATATACACCACACACATATACCATACTTAGATACACACACACCAGAAAGAAAGCAACCTATACCATTCAATATTTTTCTACAACTTGCTAAGCATATGAAAATGAATCGTCATAGGTCTGGGGGGGGTTCTGCCTCAAGATTTTTTTTACAGTTTTGTCAGTAAACTTGACTATTTCTTTC